TCACGAAATTAATTTTAATCTATTGATTCGTGTTCACCAACACGATTTTCACATTTTTTTCGTGTCACACAGAACGATTTTAAAAGCAATGTATTTCTATTGGTAATATGTTTCGTGCCTGCACCACATCTTTTTGTCCAGTCGGGTCTTGGAAGATCAGAAACTGTGTGGTTCATAAAAACATTTTCTTACTCAATATCTTACCCTAAGCCTAACACTATCCCTTTTATTTAAAATTGTATAATGTCGGAGTTTTTTTGCCGTCCGCGAGGAAAATAAATGGGGCAAAGAGCCTCAGAATACTGTTTTTCCTTCTAATTTGTTATTATTTACATTGCTTTTAAAATTGTTCTGTGTGACACGAAAAAAATGGAGAAATGGTGTTGGTGAACACGAATCAATAGATTAATTTCGTGACTATAACACGAAATGCCGTGAGACTGTGTTGGCATGTTAGCATTGCCATTGTGAACATATTAGCATGCTTAAATTAGCATTTAGCCTAAGGACAGCCTCAAGCATGGAAAACACATTCATTCATTATGTATACTGACTACTGAGTTTAACATTTTGTCATTGCTTATACCGCACAGGCAATATGTGCATGTGAAATCAGTTTTGTACTTTAAAAGTTAACATTGACCATTTTTCACAACATGTGTTTGGCGCTCTCCAAAGGGCATATAGGCTATGTCGTTTTGGGAAAAAATGGCAAACCACCTATTCTGCCATTTAGGTCTGCAAACAAGGGCTAAAACAGTTGCCTAGTAGAGATTAAATGCCATACCATGGTGGGCCAAATATCCTTTGCAAAGGATATGTACTGGATGTTTAAATTAAATACTGTATCATTTGGATTTGGCTGCAGGATGCAGTGCTTTGATGCTAACTGGTTTGGGGTCCGGTTGAAGAAGTAACTTACCTTAATGTCAGTTCCAAACCCTAATGGCAGTGAGGTTTCTGAAAGTAGAACTTTATACTTTAGTGGTGCCGGCCTTGTGGTATCTCGTCACAACACCGGATTTAATAAATAACACTGCTTGGTGAGCAGTGTGGTGGTTGCTAGAAGCAGACCACACAGAGGATGAAGCAGCTGATGAATTACAGGTACTTACTGTGACATGCTGCGGATTCTCGAGTCAGGCGGTCTCAGGCTATGCCACCCTCTCAGTGTGCATCTGTGTGCAGTGGCCCTGTGTGATATTTTTGGTTGTGTGACTCACCCTCAACATTACAGCAGAACTGGATGCCCTGGCTCAGTGGTTAATTACATAAATAGTCCTGTTTCAACAACACTGTACAATAATGGATACAGGCATTGGTACCTTCTTATGGTAGAAAATAATGTGTATAAAGAGCAGTTCTTTATGCATCTCTTTAAATGTATGAGTCATTGATTCGGTCATCTTTTGACTGTAAAATATCTTTATTCAACCTTCTCAAAATGTGTTTCAATAACAGAAATTGTCATCATGGTGAATTGGAATGCTATTCACAAATAGGAATTAGACTTTATACTTTTTAATCAAAATCAGCATGTCATCATAATCCATGAAAAGCAACAAGCCTCTTTCAGAATGTCCACTTGTTGACGATGAAGCTACTTTTATAAATAGACTTTTTATACATTTTTGGGGTGTTGACATTTTCAACAAGCAGTCATCCATTAGTGAGTCAAGAATGTTATCGGAGATGTTAAGTCTGATGTGACAGAATAACAATCATCATACCAAAATACGTAGAAACTTTAAGTAAACCATAAGAGAAAGAAAAGATTCTGTAGTTAACACATAAAACACAGATCTCATCAGAAGAACTTGACAATACTGTATATCATTCTTTTGTAATACAAAACCAAAACTGAATATTTCTTTTTTTTCATGTTAACACGTGATCGTTGATGGTATTTTGGCAACATTTGCTTTTCAGGAGTTAACAGAAAGTCAACTATTATCCTAACATAAGTCACTGGACAGTATTCATCTTTTCCCCCCGGCCCAGCCCACCCCCAACAATTCCTTAATACATGATATTGCATGATACAAACCATAATGAAAATCATTGATATATGAATGACATTTACATAGTCAACAAACTCTTTGTTTGCTGCTAGAGATTCAAAATGACTTCTCATCAACTCAGTGTCCTTTTTATTAGCTTTTCATTGTTTTTCATATATGATTCTGTAATTTGAGATTGAGGTGAATTCAGCTTTGGAGTCCAATCTAACTGAAAATAAAGGAAAATCAAATGTTTTTAACTCTACATATCAAAAAGTCTCCCCGATCAAGTTAAATAGCAAGGGAGAAAACGATATTCTAAATGTTTTCTTCTAAATTGCTCGACTTGAAACTGAATTGACCTCAAATCTGCTTGACAACCATCTATCTTCAGAGCTCAGTCTGAGTTTGTAGTCTTTAGTAGAAAATAACTACAGTTTCACTACTTGTTTTGCTGGTTCTGCACCACTTCTGAATTAAATCAAGAGTTCTTAGAGGCACCTGGAGTAGTACAAATATGTGCTCATCAGGGTTAAGGTATTGTCAGTTCTTTGTTAAGGTATTTTCAGTTCATCATCAAGTCCTCGGGAACAGAGTACCCGGAGAGGACACCAGACCAATGATCACACAGGTCATGATGCTTGGAAGCCTGATGCGACCGCTCAGTCCTCAGGGCATTTTTCTTTGTGATTTCCGTTTTCTTAGATTTCTCTAGGTCCAGGGCCCATGAAAGAATTCCCAAATAAGGGATGCACACTATAGTAGATGTCTAAAATCACATGATATACTATGACAGACATTACCGCTATGTATGCCATTAGATAGTACAAAAAAACATCATGCTGATTTTCAGCAGGTGCACAGATTTCTCAAATAATCATGTACATATCAAAACATATTTCTCGCAATACCAAATGGATGAAGTCTATAGATACCATTTCAGATGTTTCTCTAATGCTTGTGAAATAAACTTTGTGAATGAGGGCCCACCACTCCTACTCTAAGATGATTGGTAGATGTATGCTAAGGTCTGTGCAGCCTGCATGGACAGCATCATTATAATCAGCATAAGGGCTGTTGTCTTAAAGGCCTTGGAAACCCAGAGTAGTACCATCATGTATCAAACTGAAACTTAACTAACAAGGGAGGCTGTGGAGTAATGTTTCGTTTGGCCAATGACCATATCGCAAAAGCGTAGACAAAAAAATGCCAAAGTCCAACTTGTTTGTTTGTTATTCCCATAATGAGCCTTTAATACAGTACGGTACAGCTTCCTGAGAGTTAGCTAGCTATACCATTCTGATAAAAAATGGGGGGGGGGGGGGGGGGGGGAGTAGTTAGACGCTCGTGATTTGTCAATTGGGGGGGGGGAGGTGCTCGTGAATTGTTGTTACGGAAAGAGAGGGGTTTTAGGTTGCCATAAGGCTGTTGACGGTCTTATTATACATCCATTGGTTGGTTTTGTGGCACATTTGTAACGCTGTGCCAACTTGGGCAAGCACACAGGCAAACTTGAGCGCACACAGGGTGGAGAGGTGGAGTGAGGGAGAGAGAGAGAGAGAGAGGTTGAGCGATGGAGAGAAAGGGAGAGAGAGAGAGAGAGAGGTTGAGCGATGGAGAGAAAGGGAGAGAGAGAGATTGAGCGAGGGAGAGAGCGTGTGCAGCGGTCTGCTTGCGCACAGAGCAGGAGTTTGTGAGAGAGGGCTTGAGAGTGAATTTCTCTTCAAAATATAATTGATTGCCAGCCTCCCTTGTCCCTGGCTGGCTTGCTAGCTCGTTGGTAACGTAACTGATTTCTTCTAATGTGCCTGCATCTGGCACTGAGTTGGCATATTCCTTTTGTGAGCTCTTTTTGTTCGTGAACCACTTCCTGATATCCATTGTTGCAGATAAATATAAATGATAATAGCCAAACTGACCTAGCAAGAGTAAACTGACAGGCTGCTGTGCCGCATCTCACAAATATTAGGACAAAGCTCTACAAAAATCAACGATAAACATAATAATAAAAAAATGTAAATGTTTTATTCAGCCCTGATTAAAACAGCGGGCCCAAATCCTGGATGGGCGGGCCCGGCCCCATGGGGCCCGCCAATGACGCCGGGTCTGGATGCACTAATAATGTATACCGGCCAAAATCTGTCTGGAATAAAGATTTTACTTTAAATCAACCCATTACATATTTTTACAGAAAGAAAATCCATTGGTTGTTTGTACCAGCAATTTATAACAACCCATATTTGTGTATTTTCATAGGCGCCAGGCACTAGCTTTTGTTATTATGAGAGGGCAAATTAGGATGTCAGAAAGCGAAATAAAGGAGCGCATACTCCATGTCGCAAGGAGGTCGGGGTGGATGATTGGGTCCCCCAGAAGACCAAATATCAACATTAAATGTCTTTATCTAAATCACTTAAGTAACGTGACAGACATATGTAAGGTAAGTTATATAAGTAGGCTCCGTAACCTAAATTCTGTATCAAACCCTAATTATTTTAACCCTAATCCTAACCCTAATCCCTAACCCCTACACAAACAAGGATATTTTCCTAAACATAACGTATTTTTACCTAAACCTAACCAAATTGTGACATGCTGGTGTCCTGCCATCGGTGGGCTAAATTAGGGAAAATTCCTTTAGGCTTAGGGAGTTAGAAAAAAACATCCTATGTGATGGTATGGGTTGGAGGACTCATTCAGATGAACAGCCAATTGTTTTATATAAATAATGATTCCATCAGATTTTTGAAGATGAATACTTTTAATAGTGCATCCCTAACAAATTGTAACATGAATTACAGTTTAATATACTGTATATGCAGTCCAATTCCTCATTGGATTGTAATTCCATTGTGATGTCGCCCGTTAGAAATAAACTGCTGCAGATTACCTTTGTGTGATTGAATTGTTCATCGAAATGGATTCAATTACCTCTCAGGGCTTACTCTATGATTGTGTGACCCCCGTTCTCCCCCCCCCCCCCCCCCAACTGGGCAACGCATTCCAATTTCTCATATGAAACAATAAACTGTGTGCTTTTATGACACGAGTAATTTCATTTCTGTGGGGACTCGACACTGGTTTGGTTCTGCAGGAGGGTCAGTTACAGTGAAATACTGTTTTGAGAGAGATAAGAGCTCTGGACTCCAGCCAACTGTTGTAATGTGCAATTGCAGCCTGTCACATGTTCAACTCATACTTGATATCATGACAATCGGTGTCATTGACACAGGCTATAGCCTACAGAGGCATCATCAACTGTGCTCATAGTTGAAATGTTGACTTACAGACCTCATAGCGGCAGCGGCAAACAGAGTAAAGTATCTCCTTGCTGGAATGAAGCATTTGCTATTTTTTTGTACGAAGTAGCACACGTTCATATGATTAAAACCAGAAATGCGTAACTTCCTGGTTATTACAGGAGTTCTCCCATTAGCTGTGCCAAGCCAATCACTTCTGTGTTGTCTTGTTTGTCTGTAGAAATTACAACCTTTTTGTTGCTGTTGTAGCAGGGACAAATATTTCAGCGCATTATTCAACTCATATGTTTTGATCACGAGCACTGATAGGGGTGGTGTTGATTGCGGTGCTACATCATTGTACATTGTAATTCTTTGAGCAAATATAATCTTGGTATTATTGTTGGGATGTCACAATGCTACATAAATAATACTTTTTTGATATTTCTATGACTTTATTTTCTGTTATGGTATTAGTACTGTAAAACATGTTGGCTATTTTATAGGCTAATTCCATTATTATTGGACTTAACGGGCCTCATGCAAGAACAATAACAACAGTTCGAACTGATTAATTTAATATTAAAAAATAATTCATGAATTCTATGTCAGGTACAGTCACAAACAGATACTATGCATCCTGCACAGGGAGAAGAAAAACTCTTGAGAATTTGTTCTATAAATCTTGCTGAGAGGATGCCATAAACCTCTTTTGTTGATAAAGTTGAGTGTTAAATGCACTGTACAACTTGGTTTGAATTAAACTTTTTATTTTATCCCATTGTGTTTAGTTGTATTTTTTTTTATCTTACAGAATCTGGTGCACTTGGTGTCTGCATTAAGATTGGGTGATATCCTGATCATTGGGGATAAGAGAAGAAAAGGGCAGAAGAAAAGAGAGGGAAAGAAACAGATGTAGTAAAGAGAAGAGAAGAGGAATGAAGTTGTCCAGAGCCATTGTTGCCCTCAGTGAAGACGTTGTACTCCATACCTCGGCTCTCTTCTGTCCCGCACTTCAATCTGAAGAAAACAAAAACAAGACAAATAGTGAGTCAGAGCCCAAACAAATGTAACTTGAAAGGGGCCCTATTTTGGGGGAGTTTCCCCTTTTTGTAGTGTTTTTGTGCATGTAAATGGCCTGCAGAGGCTAAAATCCCAAAGCTCTCTCCACACTTCCCCTTCTGCAAGGAGCACCTCCAATGGAGTCCTTTGTTGACGCTGTGACATTATGACATCACTATATAACACTCACACTTTTATTGGCTACCTGCCAATATATAGTATGTGATATTTCCCACACATCTCTTAGCGGTTAAACAATCACAACAGAGCCGGCCAGCTAACTAATCAGAGCAGACTGGGCTCTGGTTTCAGACAGAGGCTGAAAAGAGGTGCTGCAGCACAGGCAGCAGCAATGTGCAGTCAGGGGAGGCAGGGGAGGCAGAGCCTCACCTGTCATACTCCAATGTAACAGAAAAACAACTAAAGAAAAACTAAATAGTAATAATAATAAAATGTCTCCACTGATCTGTGTTGTAAGTGTGATTTCTGTATGATTCCAATCGCTTTTTATAGTCAAAATCAGCAAATTGGCCGAGCTCCGCTACAACTACATGGGAGCGATGAGGAGTGAGGCAGGGACGAGCTCTGCCTCTCGTAAACCCACAGTAACTGGCTGGAGCGCGGGCACTAATGTAGCGCGGGCACTTATTTTGTGAGCGCGCTCAAGCCAGTTACTGTGGGGTGAGGTGAGGCACAGATGAGCTCTGCCTCACCTCAGAATACGTTACCCCACAGAAACTGGCTGGAAAGCGGGCACTAAGCGCATGCCTGTTACCATCTCACTGTAGGTCACAAATGTAATGTTTGTAGATCCCTTTATTACATTTATCCTCGCCATCCATAGTCTCTAAATAACTTATTTCACGTATATATGATATTTAGGCCCGCTGGTCTCATCATACAACGACAATGAAAAAAGCACCAGGAGAGGCAGCCATAACCTCTGCCGCACTGAAGGGGGCGCACTTGAGCCCACAGGTTCTTGTTGCTACTGTTATTCTACGCAGAGACGGTAGACGCAAACAACAAACTAGACTTTTGTTTTTAAACTAGAGGAAGATAAGGAGGACTGTTACAAAAAAGTAATGGAGATTGTTGTCCAGAAGGATAGCATGGACTTCATCTTCAAGTCAAGGTAAGACCACAATTGTAATGAACATGGGATCTTACTAAGAAAGAACAATCCAATATTTAGATTTTGGGTATCCTTTTGTTGAATGGTCTGTTTAAAATTAATCGAAGTATCAGACTAAAAAAGCTTTTGAAAATAACCGAATATTTCGATTAAGGTCACAATATAATATTTGTAAATCTGACTCTGAAAGAGTCAGTGCCTCACCAGCCATGAACCTCACCGCACGTCACTGACAGGCAGTAGGAGCACAGATGGCATTATAGGCAGGGGTGCACATAACTGGTACGCAGGTACGCATGCGCGGCAACAATCTGAAATGCGTACCGTCACTTGTGTCACAAAGCGCATTTGCGTACCGACGTAGTTGTGAAGCTTTTCCAGAAGGCGGTTAGATCACCGGACGACAGAGTCGGTCTCCGTGTGCACAGACAGGGCTGCTGTTAACGTCGGTCTGTACAACGGAATTGTGCCAAAACTACGCCAACCGGCTGCGGAGGGAGACTCCCCCCCTTCACTGGAGAACTGCGCTAAAACAGCTGATCACAACGTTCACGCTCTGTGGTCACGAAGTACTCCACTAGCACCCCCCCCCCGTTGACGTTCGCGATACAGAGGGCTTCATCAAATAACTTTGAGTGGAGCCAGAAGTTGGAGTACCAAACACTGACTCCAGGTACTCATCTGAGTACCTCACTGAGAAAGTTATGTGCACCCCTGATTATAGGGACCCTTTTGAACCTATTTTTAAATAACCAATGACAATATCCCTGTTGGGTGCCTTAAGGATCTTTCAGATAAAAGGTGACACTACTGTGCACTACTGTGCTCTGAAATCCATTCCCAATGGCTTGAGCCATGCAACAACTCTTTTTGCTCAGCAAAGCGCTGTGACAAATACCCATGAGGCCATTACAAACAAGTCACTGTATTGAGACATTGAGGAAAGCCCTGTCTTGGCATACAGGGTTAAGTACTCTGATACCTCATTCACACCAACGCAACTCCGGTTCAAGCTCCGTGCTAGAGCTTTTCAGGTTCAGAACCGGTTCTTCGGTTTAGCTCCGGCTCTTTTCACACCGCCCAGAGTCCGACTGGTGCTGCGTCATTGCGTCATCGTTTGCGTCATGACGTAACCGTTTGCGTGCCTGATTCATAAAGCCAAACCGCCCGGAAACCCCTCACAGCTCACACCGACAACAACAACAATGGCCGATTGTGTTGAAGCGCTAATCGTTTTGGTTTTGCTCTGTCGAAATGAAATGGAAGACCAGTAGGTAAATGGTCTCTTCAGTGGACCACAGCTGCTTGTTAAGTTTCTCCATCGTTGTGTACAAACTGGATAAAACGTGGGCTTTTTGTTGTTGTTCAGGAGTTGATTTGCAAACTTTTAAAAAGGTAAGGAATGAGTCAGATCACAATAATAGTATTGAAAACACTATTAACCTGTTAAGCCCGAGAGCCCCCGGTACCGGGGGCTGCGGGTTTATTTGTCACGAAACTGTGTGTCAGGGCTTCTTAACATTTAAAAACCTATTAATGTGTCATACCCGATTAACGGGAAGAAACTCAGCTAACTAATAATATGAACCATTTTTACCGAAACAAAACACAAGTCTCACAAGAAGCGTCTAAATGAGCCCTGAACGAAGAAATGCTACGCACTTAGCACAGAACTCACGGTAAAAATACCCTTATTACTTATTATCATAACTGCACATACAAGATATCGATTAGCAAGCTGAGATTCCACAGATTCCAGAAATATAAGTATCATCACTGAGCGATCAGAACTCGCGATGGGGAAGTGAAAACAGACATCACAACACGTAGCATTACGGAGCTTTCACGGGACATCGTCTTACCTTAGCTGTTGTTCTGATCAAAAGTCGTGTTCAATGGCATTAAAACGATAAAAACGCTGCTGAAGGTTAATCCATACTGTAGGTTAATCCAATGTGTCTGTGTCACTTTGAAATGATTACTGATAATCCATCCTTCCATTTTTATGTCAATAATGGAGTTTTCTTATTAACTGCTATGATAGCCACCAGAGTGTATCGCAGCTTCCGGTTCCGGGGCATTCTGGCTACGCATCACTCATTCACCAATAGGAAATGTTTAGATGGATTTTAGGATCTTCCCCTCGATTCTATTGGCTCTAACGGTTAAAAAGAGATGTCAATCATCAAAATCGAACGAGTGGGGCCAGAGATATGGAAAATGCACCCAGATGACCCCAGAAGTGGGTTTCTTTTTCTAAATCTCTCTAAAAAGGTCTAATTTCACTTGTTTTGCATCAATCTTGATACAAGGTACTTATTATATGTTATAGTTTGGATTCCTAAAGCTTTTAGTCTACTATCCCATCATTCAAGGGTGGTTTTCACTATAAGTAATGTTTTTTTTTTGGACGGACACTATCATTTACATTTTTTTTACTATGTTCAATCTGAATTTACTTTAAAATAAAAAAAATCTATATTGATTCTGACTTTTCTACATCCAACTCACAGGTTTATCATTGCTTTGAGAACTATTTTGTCATTTGTTCTGGGAATGTCATTTTCGAGCCTGAGACCTGAAAAACAGGCTCAGGGCTTAACAGGTTAAATGTGTAATTATGTCATAGTTAGGATGTGATGACAACAGCTCAAGGATACTGGTTGTCATAGTAACAGAGCAGTCTTTCCTGCTCAAGCTTTCAAGGTGCACATAAGTCAGAAAGAGCAGGAAAATGTACGAAGTAAAAGCAGAATAAAGCACAATGTCCTCTGTGGTGTTTTGTCCCCAAAACAAAAATGTGCGCTGTCAAAACGCTCCAAAGCTAATGAGGCATATTCCTCCAACATGAAAAATGTATTAAGCAAAAGTCAACTTACCCTTGACACAGCAAAATCTGCAACGACAAAAGAGAAGAAAAATGTTGGCATAAACACAGTGAGGCAAGAGCAGAAAAAGTGCATATGTGTGTAAAACATGAATATGAGTAAAGTCATCACTGAAACACTCATTTTCAACTTCTCCAGCTTTAGTCCATAGTTTTAATCTCTTTCATGTGTTTTACGTGGTTGGTTCATTTGATATTTGTACAGTATATCCAATTATTGACCTAATTCAGCTTTCATGGACTGTCCACAGGTTTTCCCATAGTTTTGTTGATATAGAAACATTTACTTCTATCTTAAGAAATTTGAGCGAAACACAAGATGCTTTAAATGTGTAAAATCACTGAGACTGTCAATGAGGTTAATCAGATAAAAACAGAAAAGACACGCCCACGCTCTGGAATATCTCCAGTTACCATGGAAACCATCAGGGAGATAGACCGTTGGAGAACCGAGACATCTTATGTCACTTTTCTCCATCTCACTCCCCCTCGCCTTTACTATCCGTCTGAACATCTCTCAGTCTACTTTGTCTTATGTCAAATGTCTCTTTCACCCTCTTTGCTGTTGCTCGTTGGGTTTATTGAGTCAAATCAAACACATAATCCTTATGTAAGAAGACCTTTTGTTGTTTGCCATTGTATCTGTTACTCTTGCCCCTCCACTACCTTCTTTTAGCATTCCTTTCTTCCTCCTTCTCTTCTTCTCTTTTCATATAGCTGAAACAATGCAATTGAAGGGCCCTGATGCAACATCATGCAAACTGTCAGAAACCCTCTGGAGGACCTCCTCCCGCTCTTGAAAACAGCACCGAAAGCAATTTGGTTGGAGCTACTGAGGTCAGGTTGGAGTGCAGTCATTGCAACTGGTGTTCCTGTTAATGGGCTCACAGTTAAGACCTAAAAATAAAATGAAGATTGACCGGGCATTGAGTTTTTTTCCTGTGATCTTTTTTTCCCTTTCTGATTTAATAATCAGGTTTATGCATTATCAATCTCACCTGGACAAATACGGCGGCTTGGTCTGAACCATTATTCTCCATGTACCAATATAGCGTCAGTTTTGCATTTGGATCGCTGCATCTAGTTGCCTATAGTAATTATAAATTAAAGGAGACAGTCATTGGATGTATTATAAAGAACAGCAAAGTCAGCGAAGGGATGACGTCGGGGTGGATTGATGTCCTTCAACTTACGTATGTATTTTCAATTGTTTATTTATTCGGCTAGGTAATGCAGTTTTGCAGGATTAACATTTAAATTAGATAATGGCTGCAAATAATTACATGTTATCACAAATGTCATTAACTTTTGATTGATCGGATGTCATCTATTCTTTCAATTTCATCATAGTCAGCAACCGCAAAGAGCGACATTCAGGCTAATTAATTCCATTTCCTGAGCAGTCCTATATTTTAATGTAGCGCACATTTTAAGAAGAGTGCATGAGGCTCTAGCAACAAAGGATGATTTTTAACTGTCAGTCTGAATTTTTTCCTTGCATCCAAAAAAGCTATATTTGCAATCTCAAAAATGTAAGAAATATTCAAAAGAAACCAAAGATATGTAAACTTAAAGTTACATTAGACTCACTGAAGGCAATATTTTTAAGGTAACAATTCATTTTCGCTGCTCAGCACATGGTTTGGGTCAGAGATAATTATTTTGCAAACCTTATGTTATTTTTGTACCAAATGTTGTTACTGATCAATTTAAAGGTTGGTTTATTGAGCCTTCAAGATTTTTCTTTTGAAGTGCCAAAACTATTCTTGTGTGCTTAACTGTCAATGGAACTTAACGAAAAATGCAAAGTTATGTAAACGTTCAAAAGTGCGGAGAAAGTTCAGTCGCGTCTGATGCTGCTATGCTAACCATATAATTGACATCTAGAATCTCCGTCTATAGCTTTATTCTTTTGCATTAAATAACGTAATCTCAAAACCCTTGAAATTGCCTTTTTTCTTTACATAATGGACCTCTGTGTTGCTATGTTTTTTCTAGCAAGTATTGCAACAAAGTTCTAACCTGCAATACAAGAACAATGCTGCCCACATTTTCACGTCACCTGGATTGTTAATTTGTAAGATTGCAGATTTTTCGCCACTAACCTTTGTTGTCTATCTGCAAATCATCAAGATAGAAATCTGTCTGCCGGTTGCCAAGGACGAAGGCCAAGAAGGAGAGGATGAGGGCATCCAGGATGCCCATGATGGCCAGCATATAGGCCCAGCGTACCGAGCAATCGCCCAGTGAGTATTTCCCGGCATGCTCCCCGCACATGTCCCGGATCACCTCGGCGTCCCATCCGTTGGGGAAGATCATGCAACCCAGCACCAGGCACACTCCTGCAGCGGGTCACAGAGAGAGAGATGCAGGGTTATAGTGGTTGGATATGTAGAGTAGAAGAGATTTTTAAAGTTTCAAACACCAGAGAAGATAGGAAGTTCAGTTGGTTAAAGGGAATAGGTGGATTTGGTGGCAGGATTTTCATAAACCAACAGCTTTAAAATGTTGCTTTCATTAAGTATTCTGATGCCATTACATTCCAGAGGTCATAAGTATTCAACTTCAACATGCCTAAGTTCTGTAAGCTGACACCAGTAGTGTGCAACCAATTGTTAACACATTTGGGCAGTGTGCTTTATTCAAGCAGCAGACTTCAGTCAAGTTTTCTCTCATGTCTTTTGACACTAAACGGTCAGGACAGAACAGAATGAAAGGAAACAGCTCTCTATCAGGTGTATATGGGGGTAAACAGTGACAGTAGAGAGATGGAATACATGTACGTACTGTATAGATTCTCCCCCTGTAGACATCTAGTATGTGTCAGAATTTTCAAACAACATACACGCAAACAAAAGTGAGTGCGTAAATAGCCACGGACACAGTACAAAGCCTCTCTAGGGAAATGCAATTTCGACACTACAACAAAAATGGTAATCTATACTTTACACCTCTGCTCATTCATCAAAGTGAGCATCACTGTGGAGCTGATGGGGCCATTTGTACTTGCTCAACCAGCACTGTTTAAACAGCATTCAGCCTGTGCCTGAAGGGCTGTAAGTAAAGCACTGGGCTCCACTGGGAGATGGGGAACACACATGGCAGACATCACACTGAATCTCCATTCCAGACCAGACATGTCTTTTCCACGGGCAACATCACTTGTGATACACATAAAAAGGTCAGACAGATTTGGCTGAATTGGTGATTATCACGCTTCAGTCCAATAAACGTTCAAAGGATTTAACATCCTGATCTTCATTGGTGTGCAATTGTGAATGTTTAAGTGACCATGTGTGTCTGTTTATGTTGGGCAGCATTCAGACACAGTTGTTCCTTTGTGGATCGAGGTGTACAGTAACACAGAGAGATCACTGGCTAGAATGTACTCAGAGGATTCTGCTAATCTCCATGCGAAACATATGAAGCTGAATCTTTCTGGTGGCACCCAAGCCTAAAATCTTAACAACAAGTTTGGACACACATTCTGTTTTAGATGAAAAAAACATTTCCCAAACGTAATGCAAAATTGCAAAGAAATAGCTGATATCACAAACAATGGATGGTACCTCATATGGGAAGGCCCAATTTTTGACATGCGATTCCAAATTACTCACATATAGTTACTCCAATATTCATCTATTTTTGTACATATTATGGGATTTGACATCGCAAACATGTTACATTGGCTTATACTAATTTGCCCTATTTTGAAAAATGTCAATTAGGGTTAGGGTTGGGGATTTGCTGTATTTTTAGCTGACCTTTTAAACTCCTCCTCGAGACTACATTGGAGAAATTTCCGTTTAACTCGCAATGGTTTAATTGCACTTTATGTGCACAAAATATATGAATTCAAGCACTTTCAAAGGCTTATGTATTTTTATGTTTATTTTCCAAAACTTTTAGAGCCTGGATTTATTTTTTAGCTCAAATTCCCAAACTATCAAGGGGTTCAAGGTTCAATTGGAACCATAGATCCATTTTAAACTTTGTCATTGTTTTTCAGCATTATAAATGTGAAGAGTACAGTACATACAATATTACACACAAGGTACATTAATGTGATGTGCTACTATTCAGGAGAAATACAGTTTTGTTTAATTGTCATTTTCAGTATAGAGGTTTGTAGGACTACACAATGTCATTAGTGAGCACAGTAAGCCCTTGGGGTAAACATGTATAAGCCAGCACTGGCAGGACAACAAATATGTCAAGGTTTTTACATAAGGGGACATTAGCTTGAGAGGGGTTGAATGGGTTTATTGTTTTTGAGATTGTGTGGGTTATTGAACCACCAACAGTATAAATATAGTCATGCGGAAATGAATCCTATACCTGGAAATTACTCAGCATTTTCCAACTTCCCCTTGTCTCAAACTCCATTTTTTTGTGTTTCTGGTTTGATGCCTGAAATATCTGTGATGAACAAAAGTTTAAGAGATTTCTCATGTAGTTCTACTACATAATATATGTCAGTAAACAATGATCCCACTCGTGAATGTCCGAATCTTCTATGTGTCAAACTGTTTTCGTTGTAAGTGACTAAATGAACTACTGAACATCATCACACTAAACATTAGCAGCCTTTAGCTTAGCAGCCATGCGACCGTGAAGTGGTTAATTTATAGCCTAATGTTAGCTTTTTTTTACTTCTGGTGATTGCATCTATGCTTCAAGAATTATAAAGTGGTGTTCATGTGTGGAGATTATCACGCCGGACAAAATGTGGTACATATATCATTAATGAGTGTTTGCTACAGGTCTTATTTTATGCAATATTTAACAGGGGGAGAGTATGACAAAGAACTCTGACAAGAAGTGAACAGGGGACGTTGGTTGAAGGTAACCCTATCCATTAAGCCACTTGATTCCCTTAATTTATTTTTTCTGAAAGGGGAAGACTGTTTAAAGGAGAAGATGTGATGGATAGATTGATCGAAACATTACATGAATTTTAAGAAAAGGCAGAATGGCAGGAAAATGTGTTTGTCGTGTCTGAAAGTGATGGCTCTGATTGTATTACACTGTCACATTAGTGATTCCCTCTGAAGGCCCTGTGTTTCACCCACCAGCCATCCATCATGAGAAAATGGTGGGTGGTGAACTCATGGCAACAGATAAAGGAGGATATCAGATTAGTCACCACCTCTCCGTGTAAACTAGAACACCATGCAAATATGAGGAGTCTTAATTCAGACAGAGACCGTTTGGAAATGGGAATTCTCCTCTGACAAAATGATAGCAGGCGTAATGAGAGAAGGTAATGAGAAAAAGTATAATGACGATAATACAGTAAGTAATGAGAGAATAGAAGAGCAATGGAAGTAATCGTCAAGGGAAATCATCATGTTATTAGCTTCTTTTATGACCTTTATACAAGATATTAACATAAATGAGATATGATAAAATAATTAACTGAGTAATGAGCTGCAGGTAACATGTTTTATGGGTTTTCGATTAATGTTTCCCCATCTGACGTGAAACTCATTCAAAGTTATTGAGTATGGGCTTTTGAAAATGTGGCTGTGGAACCCTGATAGGCAAAATATTTCAGCCGATCATTAGCCAATCATTTGACTCTGTTGTAAATGTCATTTAACTTGTTTTGTACAGTTTAAGTGGTGGAGAAAACATCATTATTTTCCAGCAGTTCAAACGCATATTTAAAGCTCTGAAGTCTTTGCTCTTTCAATGCCCTTCTAGTTCCTTAGTTAGGAATGTGTGATAGTCTGTCATTTTGAGCCTACACTTTTTATTTGGTTCTTCCTTGGCCCATAGACTCTTCCATCAAGTTTCCTGAACATTGGGCCATTAGTTTTCCATAACTATTACCTCCTTAGAGGAGTCAATTTTCTATATTAGATTATGTTTGAGCATGGAATATAATCTTAGTTAGTCGTGTCATTTCATGCTGTGGAAAATACTAGGGTGTTATGAGTTGCTCTGGTCATTGGTTTGGTCAGTATTTGCAAAATCGTACTCAAAGTCATTGCAGAGATCTCGGAAATTGGCTACATTGCTTAATATAGGTCTGCCGCTTTGAACTCTTCAAGGCCAATGAAGTCATTAATTATTGTGACCCGAATCTGCAGTCTATTATTTCTATAGTCTTTATTTTAAGTTAAGTTAGTTGTGTCTCGTCCCACTATTAAACCTGATAACTCTCAGTTCGGTCAGGGTTAGGGTTAGAGAGGTAAAAGCGCAAAACATGGAAAGCACCTCGATTTAAACAAGCAACACAGTGTGCCGCTCAGAGGACAGTTGTACTATATTTTTAACCACTTAAAAAGTTGTTTTGCTTGTGATATGTTTTTGTTTTTTTAATAATACCCATGTTTTTGCTTTGACGCTGATCATACAGGCCTACGCGGCTGATAACCTAGCTTTGACTTGATCCTCTCATCATGGGCAACGTAAGATCACTAGCTAATGGAATGGACGAGCAAACGGCGTTAGCTAGTCACACGGAATATCTGGTGTGTAGTTTAATGAGCATTTCGCAAACATGGCTGCACCACGATATATCTGACGATAAAGTTTCCATCAATGGCTTTTAGACGGTTGGGGCAAAGATTCCATCAACAACATTTTCATCTACAACGTTTCCAAAGCTTCCATCAATGGCTTCTGGACCATTCGGATCCAAAAGGATTGGATGCATGTTGCTACTGCATATTCAGGGATGCAAACTCATCAGGTATGAAAAAGGTGACAAGGATCCGAGCCCCCCGACCCCACGGAATATCGGCTTTAAAATGAGGAATAACAGAGGATTTTAGCAGTCAGAACAACTAAAGCAGCAGTGTCAATAATAACAGCAACGCCAAAGAGTCACATCTAATAGAAATGTATAAAAGCATTTATTTTAATTGTGTAGCAGTCAGTTTATAATTTTGGCAGGACTGTTGAGCATTTTGAAAATGTATTTTCATGCCTCTGTGCAAGGCTTAGTCTTTCTATCTTAATAGCCAGTGGTGTAAAGTAACTAAGTTCATAAACTCAAGTACTATACTTGGGTACAATTTTGAGATACTTGTACTTTATTTAAGTATTTCAATGTTTTGCTACTTTGTTCTTCTTCTCCTCTACAGTTCAGAGGTAAATTGTGTACTTTTACTCCACTACATGTATTTAATACCTTTAGTTACTTTACAGATGTGGATGAATGATGTGAAATATAATCAAATGTTAAATCAGACTTTAGTTCCACCTGGAGTAAATTCACAAGCTACCCTGCAGTATACAAAGTCATTCAAACTAGCTGCACCTTTACCAGCTTTGAGAACACTTTAATGATCAATCATTATAAAACATATCATATATATTATTCTGAAATGGA